TAGAGGATGTCTGAATGATGGATTTCCAATAAAAGGTCTGGACTTCTGGGCTCAAATAAGCTTCCCTAGTAGACAACATTTCAGATGTGTTGTCACACGTTGCTGGAACAGTTGTGTCCCATGTGATTTCACTGAGAGAGGATTCTTGAAAACTTACATCTGGCTTCCTTGATTTCCCCACATGCACCTTTCCCTTTGCTTCTGCTGTAATAAATCACAACATGACTGTCTCCCAAGTCCTGTAAGCCTCCTAGTGAACTGTCGAACCTGGTGTGGTGCTGGGGATCCCAGGAATATTTGTCTTGTTCCTGATTTTAATGGGAAATCATACAGTTTTTCACCATTGAGTATAATGTTAGCTGTGGATTTTTCATAGATGCCCTTTATCAGGTTGAGGAAGTTTGATTTCTGTTTTTATGTTTTCACTCTATCCCGCAGTTTGGGTGTGTTCTATCATCAGAGAACACACTTTGTATGATATCAATCCTTTAAAATTTATTTCAGCTTGTCAAACATATGGTTTATTCTTGAGGTTACTCCATGTATACTTGAGAAGAATTTTTATTCTACTCTTTTTGGGTAAAGTATTCTATGGATGTCTGTTAGGTATAGTCGATTTACAGTGTTGCTTAAGTTTACTATTTCATTGTTGACTTTCTGCTTAGGTGTTTTATCCATTGTTATAAGTAGGGCGTTTAAGTCTCAAACTATTATTGTTGAATTGTCTACTTCTCCTTTCAAGTCTGTCAGTTTTTGCTTCATGTATTTTGGGCCTTTGTAGGTGCACATAGATTATAATTGTTTTGCCTTTCTGAGCATTGACACCTATTATCATTATGAACTGTCCTCCTTTGTTTCTTTTCTTTTTTTTTTTTTGCTGTACACGGGCCTCTCACTGTTGTGGCCTCTCCCGTTGTGGAGCACAGGCTCCGGACGCGCAGGCTCAGCGGCCATAGCTCACGGGCCCAGCCACTCCGCGGCGTGTGGGATTTTCCCGGACCGGGGCACGAACCCGTGTCCCCTGCATCGGCAGGCGGACTCTCAACCACCGCGCCACCAGGGAAGCCCTCCTCCTTTGTTTCTAATAATGAACTTTGTTTTAAAGATTATTTTGCCTGATATTAGTATAGCCACTCAAGCTCTACTTTGGGTTCTATTTGCATGGTATATTTTTCCCCCATCTTTTCACTTTTAACCTATTTGTGTCTTTAAATACAAAAGGTGTCTCTTGTAGACTGGGTATTTGAATCATGTTTTTGTTTTTCTAAAATCTTATGTCAATTTCTGCCTTCTCATGGGAGTGTCTAGTTTATTTACATTAAATGTAACTACTAATAAGGTAGGATTTATTTCTGCCATTATGCTATTTTCTTCTGAGTCCTCACCAGCAGTATTCTCCATATTGTTATAGTCCAGATTTCTATTACAGTCTTTTCATGGTGATTTAGACTTTCTCTATCAAGTTCCTGAAAGTTCCTCCAGCCTCCAGCCACTTCCCAGTTCCAAAGACACTTCCATATAGGTATATGTTACATCAGCACCCACTTCCAGGTAATAAAATATGTACTAGTTTTCTATGCTGCATAACAAATTACCACACTTAGCAGTGGTAGGACTGAGGATCCTATTCTCTTGATGACCATGAGCTAAGAGGCTGCTCAGCTCCTAGAAGCCACTAGCAGTTCCTTGCTATTGGTCCTCTCCTAGGATCTCTCTCAACATGGCAGCTTAGTTTTTCAAAGCCAGGAGGAAATCTATCTGACTTCTATACCCTCTTTTAGAATGGTCACCTGATTACATCAGGCCTACCTAGGATAATGTCCCTTTTAAGTCAAAGTCAACTGATTAGGTACTTCAATTACATACACCAAAAAATCTCTGCCTTTGTCATATAATGTAACCTAAGCCATAGAATGACATTCATCATCTTCACATGTCCTGCCCATTTTCAAGAGTAAAGTATTATACACAGGTAGGTGGCATTGGAGGTCATCTAAGAAATCTGCCCACCACTTATACCCTTTCAAATGCCCTTTTAATTTGTCCTAATAGATAACAACTGGTACATCATTCTTCCACTCTCCTCCCACCTTTGCTTTAGTCTTATATGTATGTGTTTATGTATGTTCATGTGTACGTGTCTGTATGAAAATGATGCTCAGCATCAGTCTTTTTGCTGAAGGTTTCCCAAGCTATATCTGATTTGATGAAATCTATCCACCAGTAGATTCCTCAGGAAGGGTTCATGGGTATAGAATTGCCTAAGTTCTTTTATTTTAAAGACAGTTTGGCTAGATATTATATCCTTGGTTCACACTTTCTTTCATTGAATTTTCTATACTTGTTCATGTATTTTAATTTTGTTTGGAGCTTAGACTTACCATTTTCTTCTGCTTCACAGTTGTTTTTTGGTAAGAGTTTTCCTCAATTGTCTGTTTGACATTTTATTTCCTGATTTCAGCATTAGTTCTCCATGGGTTTTATTTTTCTCTCCTTCATTTTGCATTATTGTGCTGTTTAAAAAGATTTCTAGGTTAGTGACGCTAGTTTCTAGTTTCTGTTGATTGTTCCAACTAGCCTCTTCATGGGTCTGTCTGCTTGTCACAGAGCCTTCTAGTAGTGAGGGAGTGTGGCAGGAACAATTAGGGTCTGGCCCTGTGATTTGTTGCTTTTTCTCTTTTTATTCAGCCATTCTGAACAGATGGTATTCTCTGTCTTTAAGCAATGCTGAGAGTTTGGTTTTGGTTAAAAATGCAATTGTGGAGTTATTTCATATCTTTTAGGGAGGTTGTTTACCATACACCCACCACTGACTTCAGCTGCCTTGTTTTAAAAAAATCCCCTTAATATATTATCTTTTCAAACAAAAAACAAATGTGAAAAAATAATATACAGGCATACTCATTTTACTGCACTTTTTTGTGCAGTAAAATTGTTCTTCTCACGTATTGCGCTTTTTACAAATTGAAGGTTTGTGGCAACCCTGCATTGTCAGATGATATTTAGCATTTTTTAGCAATAAAGTTTTTTTTAAGGTATGTACATTTATTTTAGACACAATGCTATTGCACACTTAACAGACTACAGTATAGTGTAATCATAACTTTTATATGGACTGGGAAACCAAAAATTTGTGTGGCTCACTTTATTAGGATATTCACTTTATTGCAGTGGTCTGGAACCAAACCCCCAATATTTCTGAGGTATGTCTGCAAATGATTTTCGACTTGTGCTTTTTAACTTGAAATTATTAGGTTTTGATTAAGTTTATAAATAGACTGTTTACAGGAGGCTAGATTTCCTAAAAGTTTAATTAATAGAGTCAGTTAATTCCTCACGTAGTTTTTGACTTGTAGCTATTACCAGTTTGCCAGACATGTGAAATGCTTAATAGATAGAATATATAAAATGCATAAATGAAATTTAAAATGTTTACAGTCACTTAATTATTTAGGTCTTTAAATCGAGCTGACAGCTTAAGGGAAATTTAGTTGGCTTGACTTGAGTGGATTAAACATTTATCAAAAGAAAATAACTTCTTATTTAGAGAAAACTTCCTAGACTTATAAAGATACTAATGAAGCATGCCTGTGGAATAGCAAGACCTGCCTAAGTCCAGGAGTACAAGAAGCAACAGGGCAGAAGTTTGGATAAGAATGAGGAGATAGGATATGGGTGGTCTTGATGATTAGACCTCTCCTTGCCCTACTCTATAATTTCATTTCCAAAATCTATCATTTCTCCCAAACACATCAGGATGTTTCATGCCTCGTTTACTGTCTTAGGCACTGGGGAATACAGGGAAGAGCAATACAAAGTTCCTATTCTCATGGACTTCTACGACAGAAAAAAGACAGACAAAAAAAAAAACCAAATAAATATATAATTTCAAGTAAAATATATAATTTCAAGTAGTGACAAAGCCGTGAGGATAAAAAAAAAGTGGGTTAAGGGAACAGAGTAATAGGGAAGGGTGTTATTAAGACTATATTCAGGAAAGGCTTCTCTGAGCTCATGATATTTAATCAGAGATCTGAATGAAGTCGGAGACAGACATTGACAAGAGAATTCCAGATGCAAGGTCTAGTAAATCGCAAGAGCCTTTAAGTGGGAATAAGCTTAGTGTGCTCATGGTACAAGGAGGCTACTGCGGCAAAGCCAGAGTGAAAATAACGTCAGAAAGACAGATGAGGGCAAATTATAGCAGACTTGTGGGCCATGGTACAGAATTTGGATTTTATTATGAATGTGATGGGAAGGCACTGAAGCATACTGTTCCAGCCTGCTTAGATTGCCTTTCTCCTTAGTTATCTGGCTAACTCCCATTTGTCTTTCAAAATTTAGCATAATCTCCTGCGGGATGTATTTCTTAACTCTCCAGGTAAGGTCAACCACCTCCTCCTGTGTGCTACTTCTGAGTGATAATAGATTACTGAACTGTGTTTGTGTTTCATTTCATTTTATTTTATTGTTCCCCCAGCATGTAACATAGCGGTGGGTACTAAGTAAAGGTTAGTGCTTAGTAAAGGTTAGTAAAGGAAAACCACCCATTCATTCAATGGTGCCAGGCTTGATTCCTCTGGACCACTTCAGGTGCCATGCACGCGGAGGCGCATGGGAATTGGTACCCTGGGAGGTTGGCTGCAACATTCCCCCAGCTCTCTCTGCTACCAGAGGCCAAGAAGGCCTCTCGGGACAGCCAACCTCCAAACTGTCAGGTGCCTGCTGTCTCCCCTTTGAACATCTATGCCCGACCTTGTTGGGCCCTGTGGTGGGACTTCGGGTGGGGCGACCTTCGAGCTTCACATCTCTGTATCCACACTCCCCGCAAACCCTTCCTCGAGCTAGTCAAGCACCCCACTCCCCACTTTCCCTCATAACAACGGAAGTTACAGCCGAGATGCCCACTGGCCTACACGGTCAGGCTCCTGCCTTCCCTCCGTGCTTCCACTGCACACCCCTTGTCCCGCAGTGCCCCCACGGCCCCCCGTCCCACTCACCTAGGATGCGGGTGACCCCCAAGGTTAGCTTCTCCAGGTGCGGCTTGTTGCTGCCCAGCAGCGGGGTCGGCGTCTCCTCCATGGCTTGCGTCCGAGCTCCGCGCGCGGTCTGAGGAGCGGCTGGGACAGGGCGGGGGAGCGGTGCGGCCGGGAGGGCCGGACTCCGCCCGGGAGGCGCGGCCGTCAAGTTCACGGCATGCCGGGAGTTGTAGTGCTCGGAGCCTGAGAGCGCGGCAGGGCGGAGATGGGGGGCCCGGGCTGCTCTGGGAGTAGCAGTTCCGCGAGGAGCTCGTTCCCGCGGCCCCGGCGGGGGCTCCACGCCACGCCGCCGGGACACAGCGACTCCACCACCCGGACCCTCCCGCCCCGCCGGGGCCGGCTGCGTAAGCGGGGGCGGGCCTCTGCGCAGTGCGGCCAATCGGGACCGGGCCTGGAGGCCGGGGTTGGACGGCCCCGGCGGGACGCCCCGAGTGGCGGTTGTTTCAAGATGGCGGACGTGGCGGACCCCTCTCGACCCGGCGCGGCGGCGTTCTGGAGCCGCGACTGTATCCTTTGCCCGCCTGGCAGGGGGCGCCGGCGCTTTCCCCGGTGCGGCGAGCGGTCGCGAGGGACGCGGAGTGCACGGGAGAAGCTTGCCGCGGACCCCGGTGGCGGGGCAGTCCCGTTCCGTCCGGCCGCCGTCCGGGTGCTGGGCTATGCTCTTGCTTGGGTATTAGGTGTCAGAGAGCCTGCACTGTCTCCAGGCTGGAGTTCAGGCGTGGGGACTCGGAACAGATGTTTCCCAGCCCTCCTTGGCGGTGAGCTCTGGAAACATGGCCTAGAGTCTTGGCCTCTCCTGGGGCTGGAAGGGCCCCTCTGCCCGGGATGACCTCCGGCCGGCCTAGTCTGTGCGGAGTGAGTTTGTGAAGGAGTGCATGCTGTTGGGTGTTCCAAGAGCTTTTTGTCTTGGTTTAGGAGTGTCCTCAGTCTGCGTTGTTAAGAGTAAGTCAGGACCTTGTCGGACTTAGAAGGCCTGTCAGTGGTGATTTATTTTCGTACTGAGATCTTCGGAGAAGTGTGGACTTGGTTTCACGCAGACATGATCTGGTGGTGATGATTATGGAATAAGATGCGATGCAGATTTTAGGGCCTGGAAGTAGTGTTGATTTGCATGTAGATTGCGGGTCCCACTGAAGTTCTTGGGTTGTTTTATGGTAGAGAAGCTGTGGCGCTTTTATCCTTGCGGTAGTATTCCCAGATTAGTATCTATGATGAGATGTGTGACGAAACTGGTTCTTTCCCTGTGTTAAGGTAGACTGTTCTAGGCTGATTTTTGGTTCTGATAATTTGCTTCATGTTAGAGGAGTGTTACCTGAAAGGAAGGCATTCAGTGTATTGGGTGCCCGCAGAGGCAAGTCTTTTTGTTTGTTTACTAGGATTGGTGATGGCATTGTTGGAGGCGTTGCTCTTAACTTTGGCAGAATCATTCTTTGCACATTCTGCTTAGCTCTCAGTAAAACTTAGAAAGTTGTATTATCAGTTATACTTGTTGAATTACTAGGATTAAAGTGTCATGCCGTGGAGAGTGGGATATTTTTGTATTTCTTGTTGCTCCATGTTTAGTGTTAATGCACTTTCTAAACATAATTACCACTTGTGTGTGATAGGTCGGTGAGAATCAAGTGAAATCGTGTACACGGTGGATAAAAGCACACTGATGCACTGTGCAAATAAAATGTTTTTTTCTTTACCTATCAGGAGAATATGTACACTGGGAACAAGTGGGCTGAATTAGGAAGTCAGGAAATTGGGATGAGTCATACTTTCTCGTGAAACATTACCTCTGCATTGTTAGAATTTTGTGATAGAGATATTTGAAGATTATTAGCTTATAATGTCCTTCTTTAGTGTAATCATTTTCATAACCTTCCATGTGGCTTTGGTTATTTCTTAACTTTCTGTATAACCAATGCTATTGTGCTGATACAGGATATATAAGAATATTGTTCTGATATAGAATGTGTGTGGGGCGTGGGGAGGGGAGACAGTCTGTTGCAGTGGGTCTGATTAAGTTAATAGGTATGTAAACTAAATCTATGCTCTTGGTCTTAGCAACCCTGTACTCAGTTATTCGTGCAGTCATATTACTCCCTATTTCATATACAAGTCATATAGCCTTCCTTTTCTCTTACACTCTCCCTTACTCTAAAAATTTATGTAAAATACTAATCTTCACATTCAAAGTGGGGAGTTGAAATTATATGGGGAAAATGGTGATGATTACATTCTGTAGAAATTCAGATGCTTGAAAGGAATTGCAAGGTTACCACTATCACCCTTCCTATTCCACATAATGACCAATTAATATCCAGCCTCAGATATTTTCATTTTAATCTCTATAGGACATAAAAGCAGTGTCAAATATAAATTTATTACTGAATCTTTGCTAAAAAGCATAACAATAATTATCAATCATTTGATTTAGTCACGTGTCTTTTGATCTTGATCTCTTTTCTTGTCACAATGATGACTTCCCAGGCCACCCCAAAGCATTTATAGTTAGACCTTTCAATAGAAAAAGACCAAGAAGTATGCACCTATAATCTGGTATTCTTTTCACACTATTGAAAGATTTTCAGTGTTTCACCTAAGCAATTAGAGAAATATGATTGAGTGATTTCCTAGTCCTGGATGTTTCCGTCATGTGAGGACAGATCATCTGTGACTGAATATCACCTTTTTCATACTGTTGTACTTATGAGTTATGTGTCTCCTGCACAGTATGATTCAGCAGTGCTGTTTTGCACAAGGTATGTCTTTATACCCAATGTGTAAACAATGAGTATGCCATGTTGTCATTTATGGCTTAAATCTGCAAGTAGAATATGCCCCTTCAGCCATAAACTACTTTCCTCCTTCATTATAGCTCCTGGTAATATCAAAAGAAGTTAGTGTTTCTTCAGTATCTAAATTTGCTGAAGTGCACTCAAGTGTATTATCATTAACAGTACTATGAACTTGATATTAACAAATATGAACTGTAAATGACCTGGTGAAAACATTGCAGTAGCTATAATCTCTGCCATTGAGTTTTTAATTAAAAATAGAGACTTGGGCTTCCCTGGTGGCGCAGTGCTTGAGAGTCCGCCTGCCGATGCGGGAGACGCGGGTTCGTGCCCCGTTTCGGGAAGATCCCACATGCCGCGGAGCGGCTGGGCCCGTGAGCCATGGCCGCTGGGCCTGCGCGTCCGGAGCCTGTGCTCCGCAAGTGGGAGAGGCCACAACAGTGAGAGGCCCGCATAACGCAAGGAAAAAAAAAAAAAAAAATAGAGACTTTACGTTGATGTTAAAATAATATACTAGTCAGGAAAATCGTTGTGGTTAGTAATAATAATACACACGTTGTTGGTAAGTGATTCAAACTCATAAGGTTAGGGTAGAGTGGGAAGTACTAAGTTTATTTTCTTCATATCCTGGTTAGGGTAGGTATACTTATTTCTCTCTACCACTTCTGCCTTGGGTTTCTCATTACTTCTTTAATTCCGGAAACTTGGGCATTAAAGACTCTTTATAATTTGCTGTACTTGTCTTATTGAGGCACTTCCAAATGAACCAAGTAGAACTAAGGTGGCACATAGAACCCAATAAGAGGTCCAATATACACTTGGTATATATTGTGTCTCTTTGACTTTGCCATAAAATATATATTTGTTGGGAATCTTTGTATTTGAAGAAGGTAAGTATTTGGGTTCTTAAAGAGCTGAAGATAGATTACAAATGATTAGAAAGGATAGGTTGGATGGAGGCAATTTCAAATATTTGTCTTATTTATAAAAACTTTTGTTAAAGTCTGTTTATTTAGCATTTTTGTACTTGAAAAGAAATTTGGCATGGATGTAGCTAGTGGGTTTTGTGTGCATATTTTGAATAGGACAAAAAGAGAAGGATAACACTGAGTTGTTGGACAGTGCCTCATAGGATTAAATAAATATCAGTTTCATTCGTTCATAGATGGTTTACCATGAGCTAGGCATGCTTTGACCTTAGGTGATACAACATTGAACAAAACAATGCAAATCTTCACCCTCTTGCTGCTTACATTTTAGTGAAATGAGATGAGTTCATGAATAAGTAAAATAATATTATGTGTCCAGTGATTACAGGTGCCATGGAGAAAAATAAAGCAGGAAAAGTGTAGCTATCATGGGGGTCTTTTGTGTCTGTTTTTATGCCAGTACTGTACTGTTTTGATAACTATAGCTTTGTAATATTTTGAAACCAGGAAGTGTGATACCTCCAGCTTTATTCTTCTTTCTCAAAATTGCTTTGTCTAATTGGGGTCTTTTGTGGTTCCATACAAATTTTAGGATTGTTTGTTCTATTTCTGTGAAAAATGGCATTGGAATTTTGATAGAGATTGCATTGAATCTGTAGATTGCTTTATGGACATTTTAACAATATTCTTTCAATTCATGAGCGTGGAATATCTATTTATTTGTGTTTTCTTCATTTTCTTTTATCAATGTCTTATAGTTTTCAGTGGATAGGTCTTTCACGTCCTTGGTTAAATTTATTCCTAGATATTCTTTTTTGATGCATTTGTAAATTGGATTATTTTCCTAATTTGTCTTTCTGATAGTTGGTTATTCTTGTATAGAAATGCAACAGATTTTTATATATTGATTTTGTATCCTACAACTTTTGTTTATAAACAAACTGAATTTATTTATTCATTCTAACAGTTTTTTGGTGGAGTCTTTAGGGTTTTCTATATGTAGTATCATGTAATCTGCAAATAGAAGCTTGTGGAAGGCTTCTACAGTTTGTTTTTCTTAAAGAAATAGGAAGCAAAGTTATTAGCTTAGAGTAAGGATGGGGGAGGTGGCATCTGGTTTGAGAAGAGAGGAGAAAGTGTAAAATAGTTGATGAGCTTCCAAATCAAGGTGCAGCTGAATGGGGTCCTCAGTGGCTGGTCTCTTCCAGCTGTTGAGCAGGCTCCTTTGTGAATGATCCAGAGAAGTGTAGTATGTTTTCCAGGACTCTGTTTTGTCAGTCTTTCCATAGTTCATCCTTGGAGATGGAGAATATTCTGCAAATTCATCACTACTTTATACTCTAGTTGAAGACACTGCCATATGGAACATGTCCTGGGTCATCTTGAATTTTTTTCCGCTGGCTACTTTCTCCCATGTGTATATTTCCAACAGCAAATGATTAAACATTTATTGAGCACCTGCAGTGTGTGCAGTCCCAAGGGATGTAAAAAATGAATCTGCTGTTAAAGAGCGTGCACGATTTCATTTTGTAAGGATTTTTTTTGGATTGTATGTCAGTGAATTTAGAAATTCTCTCTGCTCCAGTGTTAGTTGCAGTCAATTTCCTTGGACTTGTGGGGTCTAAGTTTTTGCTTGTTTACTTGTCTTATGTGCCTCCTAAAATTTTCTAAGCTCCATCCCTGATGTCTAAGGGAATTTAAAGTTTTTAGAGGCCCTATCAGCCAAAAGCTTGAAGCTGTGATAGTGCTGCAGAGAGCTGTTAGAAACCACCCAGCAGCTCAGACAGTAAGCACCATCTTTGTGTTCCATAGGGATTCTAGGCATTTCCAATCAGCATTCCTTGAAAAGATTCCATTACTAGAATTGATTCTGAACTGAAATATATTGATTTTTTAACATGTTATTTATTTATTTTTTAATTAATTTATTTATTTTTGCTGTGTTGGGTCTTCTTTTATGTGCGTGGGCTTTCTCTAACTGCGGCAAGTGGGGTCCACTCCTCATCGCGGTGCGCGGGCCTCTCACTATCGCGGCCTCTCCCGTTGCGGAGCACAGGCTCCAGACGCGCAGGCTCAGTAATTGTGGCTCACGGGGCCAGTCGCTCCGCAGCATGTGGGATCCTCCCAGACCAGGGCTCGAACCTGTGTCCCCTGCACCGGCAGGCAGACTCTCAACCACTGCGCCACCAGGGAAGCCCTTTTAACATGTTATTAATCCACTGTTTTATTCCAGCCTTTTCCCAGGAGGAAATAGTTAATAATTGGTTTGTCTACAAATTTTGGAAAAGAAAGTGTTTTATAAAGTAACAGAAAACTTTAGTATTTTCTAGATCATTTGGAAAAAATTGTTTAGACACTTACTTCCTGGAAGTGTAATAGAAGGTTATCAAATGGTGGACATACCTGGATTTAGATATAGTTCTGAATAAAATTTTATTTCTGGAAAGTAAACTTTCTTATTATATTGGTTCCTTTCTATAGCAGTGTTCTAGCCTTTCTGAATTTCTCCTTTTGAAATTCAGAATAGTTCTTTTTGTCTTAAATTTCTTCAACTTGTTAAATAGTAGGGCTTCTTGAGACATTTCATGAATATACTGCAGAAGAATAAAAAATGTTTTTTGTGTTTGTATGATTGACTTGCCCTCAAACAGTGTTTGTTCTTCAAAGCTGAAGCTCGCTTTGAAATTACAAATTTTTTTTAATATACCTTTATTGGAGTATAATTGCTTTACAATGTTGTGTTAGTTTCTGTTGTACAACAAAGTGAATCAGCTATAAGTATACATATATCCCCATATCCCCTCCCTCTTGAGCCTCTTCCCATCCTCCCTATCCCACCACTCTAGGTCCTCACAAAGCATCGGAGCTGATCTCCCTGTGCTATGCAGCAGCTTCCCACTAGCTATCCATTTTACATTTGGTACTGTATATATGTCAATGCTAAAGCTTACTTTAAAATTAAAAGCTAAAGCTCACTTTGAAATTAAGAATTCATGCCTAAAATAACTTGTCATTCACCGATGATGAGCAAAATGGAGTATTTAACTGTTTGTTTACGAAAGAAAAGAAAATGAAAGGAAACTAATTTGTAGTGTATCTCACTTGGGAATAAGTATGGATAAAACTTTTATGGAACAAGGCCTTCCAAAATTTTTACAAAGCAGATAGTTGTGAATATATAAAGATTAACTTTAAAAGATTATTAATTTTGCTACATTTATTTTCATTATGGTGCTTTCTAATTTTGTTTTTAAAAGCTAGTTATAAACTCCCAGGTCAAAAGAAATTACAAATTATAACAGAGGTACAGAACAGCAATGTTTGGATGTTGGATAATCTTTTCTAGTATTTTCCTTTATGTCTTCCTACGTAGTTTCTGATGAAGAACAGTCAGTAGTGTATGTTCCAGGTATGATTTTATGCATTAATTTGGTAAAATTCCTTTGCTTCTTAAGAGTTAGGAGAAAATAAAAACATTAGGATAACTTTGTAGGCATAAGTAGATGCAGAACAGTTCATCAGAACCTAATTTTTTTTTTTTTTTTAAATGTTTGGTATGACCCCGCTAAGGTTTGAAATACTGCCTTTGTTTAGGGGCTGGCTGGGCAAGTCAGCTTTTGATGAATTTACAGAATACTTCATTCATGTGTTAAAGAGCAAGAGATTCTTTTCTAGTCACATTACAAATAATAGTTTAAATTTTATATTTCAAAAAAATGTGAAAACTTCTTTACATAGTGTTTATGTAATAGACTTTAAAGCTTACTTACTGGTTGTTAAGAGATGAGTAGTAAAACTGAACCACTGGAGGCATCCTAATTATGTGAAAAATCAGATTTTTAATTTTCAATAAGTTAAGGTATGTATGGTATGTTGTAGTTTATTTGTTTTAATGTGACTTACGGATGTTCACATCCCCATTTAAAAATACTTCGGTTGAATCTTGGCATGCAAAACATCATCTTTTCATGATTCATTATTTATTAACAGAGCCTTGAAACAAAGTTTATAAAGTAAGAGATTTCCCCATCAAATGCCATAAGTAAAGGATATCAAGGAAGACATTGGTGGGGGGAGGGTTTAAGAGAATGAAAAGATATAATTTTGAAATCTTGTTTGATGGAAATCCTTAGGAATTTCTACAGAAGGAAATATCAGATCAAGACACAAGATGGTGAATCCAAAAGCTGATGTTAAACTTAAGACTTCCAGGGTGACTGCTACTTCAGTCTCCATGGAGTCTTTAAAAGGTGCAGGAGATTCAGTAGATGAACAGGTCAGTAATTTCTTTTTTTCTTTTTCTGTTTTCTTTTTTTTTTCCTTATTCTCCAGTCTTTATAAATGCTGACCAGTAAGTCATTTTTTTGTGCTGACCAATAACTGATAGATAAGGGTAGAAGAGCCCTTGAAAGAACATTAGATGATCTACAAGCATTTTTAAAGATACAGAGGATTCTAGGATGCTTTGCTTAGTATGAATATAAAATGTGTATTACTCATTTTGTTCCAAAATGTCCAGGCTTGCTTTAAGCCTTAGTTAAGAAACATTTATTGTCTTAGTATGTATCCAAAGACTTAAATCCTGATCTGTGTGGAGTTAGTAAATCAAATTTACAATTTTTTTCTTTTATTAGGTGTCATTTGTGATTTTTTTGTTCATGTGAATTTGTTAGTTGATGATGGATAAACCTTTGTATATAAGAAAATGCTTTATTAAAACAAAATTAGCCTGTATTATTATTGTTATTGTTATTATTTCCTTCGTTTGGCAAATAATATCATAAAGACTTTATTTTTATAGCTCAGTCATTGATTTCTCCTTTGTCTTTCTTTGCCTCTTTAATAGTGTCTGTACATTCCTTTGGTATATGCTCTATCTGATTGGTTTATTTCACTTTACTTTTTGTTATATTTTGTCTCCCCAACCAGAGTTTGACTCAGGGTTTGTCAATCTATGACCTGTAGGCCAAATCTGCTTCTTCCTGTTTTGTGAGTAAAGTGTTACTGGAACGCAGCCACTCTCAGTCTTTTAGTGTTATGTTATTGCCACTTTCGTATTACAATGGTAGAGGCGCTGTAAAGATGAATGCTCACAAAGCCAAAATCATTTGCTATCGAATTCTATATAAAAAATGTTTTTCAGTACCTGGTTTATGTTCAGATATTGAAATTTTCAATGTCTAGTTTGTTACTAATTACAGTTGACCCTTGAACAACACGGGTGTTAGGGGTGTTGAACTCCGGGCAGTTGAATATTTGCATATACCTTTGGCTCCCCAAAACTTTACTAATAGCCTACTTTTGAATGAAAGCCTTACTGATAACATAAATAGTCATTTAACACATATTTTGAATGTTATATGTATATTTACATACACTTTATGCATTCATGACACACCTTTTTTCTTAAGTTTTTAAAAATATTTCTTAGGCTCTGTGGTTCGTCTGCAAGCTTATTCAAATTGTTGTAAATCTCCAAAAAGTTTTGCAATATATTTATTGAAAAAAATCTGCTTGTAAGTAGACTTGTGCAGTTCAAACCCACGTTGTTTAAGGGTCAGCTGTTTTACGTTTAGTTATCTATAGGATTTAACTGTGATTAGCTCAAAAAGCCTGCCTGTGTTACTTATATCCCCAGTGTGTACACTTCACACTAGGCTGTGAATAGTTGAATTTGCAAGTTCTTATCAAAAATTGAAAGTATTTTTTCATATAATGGTTTGTGTATTTTATAGTGAACAGAAGCTATTCCTCATTCATATCAGCTCCTGGCAACCACTAATCTGCTTTTAGTATCTCTGTATTTGTCTGTTCTGGACATTTCATATGTAATGTAACGTGGCCTTTTGTGACTGGCTTTTTTCATTTAGTATAGTGATTTCAAGTTTCATCTATGTTGTATCATGTATCTTTACTTCATTTCTTTTTATGGCTCAGTACATATTTTGTTTAACCACCAGTTGAAGGACATTTGGGTTGTTACAGTTTTTGGCTATTATCAATAATATTGCTGTCAACATTCATGTACAAGTTTTTGTGTGGATGTATGTTTTCAATTTTCTTGTGTATACACCTAGAAGTAGAATTTCTGGGTCATATAGTAATTCTCTGTTTAACCTTTTGATGAACTACCAAAGTAGCTATACCATTTTATATTCCACCAGCAATGTATGAGGATTCCAGATTCTCCACATTCTCACCAACACTTTATATCCATCTTTTTTATTTATAATTGTCATAGTGAGTGTGAAGTGGTATCTCATTGTGGTCTTGATTTGTATTTTCCTAATGGCCAATAATGATCATCTCTTTATGTGCTTCTTGGCCATTTGTATGTGTTCTTTAGAGAAATGTCTATCCAGATCTTTTTCATTTGGGTTGTCTTCTTATTGATGAGTTGTAAGAGGTCTTTATAGATTCCATCTCCAAGTTCCTTGTCATATATATGATTTGCAGATATTTTCTCCAATTTTGTGAATTGTCTTTTCACTTTCTTTATTTTTTTAAATAAAATTTATTTATTTATTTTTATTTTTGGCTGCATTGGGTCTTCACTGCTGTGCGTGGGCTTTCTCTAGTTGCGGCAAATGGGGGCTTACTCTTCGTTGTGTTGTGCGGGCTACTCTTGTTGTGGACGGAGCACAGGCTCTAGGCAAGCGGGCTTCAGTAGTTGTGTCTTGCTGGCTCTAGAGCGCAGGCTCAGTAGTTGTGGCACATGGGCTTTGTTGTTCTGCGGCATGTGGGATCTTCCCAGACCAGGGCTCGAATCCGTGTCCCCTGCATTGGCAGGCAGATTCTTAACCACTGTGCCGCAAGTGAAATCCTCTTTTCACTTTCTTATTGGTGTCTTTTGAAGCTTGAAAGTTTTAAATGTTGATGAAGTCCAACTTATCAGTGTTTTCCTTTTATTTATTTAATTATTTATTTGTCATATCTAAGAAATCATTGACTAAACCAAGGTCTCAAAGATTTATACCAATATCTAGGAGTTTTATAATTTTAGATATTACATTTAGCCTTTGATCCATTTTGATGTAATTTCTGTACATGCTGTGGATAGTGACCCAACTTCATACTTTTGCATGTGGATTTCCAGTTGTCCCAGCGTCATTTGTTGCAAAGACCGTTCTTTCTCCTTTGATTGTCTTGCCACCCTTGTTGAATATCTGATAATCATAAATGTGTTTGTTTCTGTAATCTCAATTCTGTTCCACTGATCTATATTTCTATTTTAATCCCAGTACCACGCTGCTTTAGTATACTGTAGCTTTGCAGTAAGTCCTGGAATCAGGAAGTGTAAATACTCCAAGTTCTTCCTTTTCAAGGTTGTTTTGGCTGTTCTGGGTCTTTTGTATTTCCATAAGAATTATAGAATCAATTTGTCAATTTCTGCACAAAAGTCAACTTGGATTTCAGTAGCAATTGTGTTGAATCTTTTTTTTTGTTTGTTTTTAAGGTTGAGCCTTCTATTAATCTATTTATTTTTATTTTTGGCTGTGTTGGGTCTTCGTTTCTGTGTGAGGGCTTTCTCTAGTTGTGGCAAGCGGGAGCCACTCTTCATCGCGGTGCGCAGGCCTCTCACTGTCGTGGCCTCTCTTGTTGCGGAGCACAGGCTCCAGACGTGCAGGCTCAGTAGTTGTGGCTCACGGGCCCAGTTGCTCTGCGGCATGTGGGATCTTCCCAGACCAGGGCTCGAACCCATGTCCCCTGCATTAGCAGGCAGATTCTTAACCACTGCGCCACCAGGGAAGCCCTGTGTTGAATCTTTTTAAAAAAATTTTAAAAAGTTTTTAATTCAAGTATAGTTGATTTACAATGTTACGTTAGTTTCAGGTGTATAGTACAGTGATTCAGTTTTTTATGTATATATTGTATATATACCTATATATTATATATATGTATATATATTTTTTCTTTTTCAGATTCTTTTCCCTTATAGATTATTACAAAATATTGAGTCTAGTTCCGTGTGCTATACAGTAGGTCCTTGATGGTTATCTGTTATATATATATATATATATATATATATATATATATATACACATATATATATATAACTGATAGAACGTTAGCAATTCCTTGGAACGCTCTGTGTTTTCTTTCTTAATTTAAAAAAAATTTTAATTCAAATTTTAAAGGTTACTTTCCATTTACAGTTATTACAAAATGTTGGCTATATTCCCCGTGTTGTACAATACATCCTTGAGCCTGTCTTACACCCCACAGTTTGTATTTCCTACTCCCCCACCCCTATGTTGTATTGAGTCTTTAGATCGATTTGGAGAGTACTCTCAACTTAATACTATTAAGTCTTCCAGTCCTTGAATATGGTGTGTAAAATGTCTTTCTATTTATTTAGGTCTTCTTTAATTTCTTTCAGTGATGTTTTATAGTTTTCAGTGCACATGCCTTATACTCCTTTTGTTAAATTTATTTTCAAGTAATGTGTTTTATACTTTTTGATACTACTGTTAACGGAATTGTCTTCTTAATTTCATTTTTGGATTTTTCAGTGCTAGTGTCCAGAAACACAGTTGATTTTTTATCCTGCAACCTTTCTAAATTCATTTATTCTAATCTAATAGTTTTTTGGTAAATTCCTTACAATTTTCTGTATATAAGATCATGCCATCTGTGAATAGAGATAGTTTTACATACCTCTTTTCGGTTTGGATTCCTTTTATTTCAGCTGTCTTCTAAAGAGATTTAAAAATGCAACAAACTTTATAGCAAGTTCATTTTTCCATACTGATAGTCTGTTGGTCTATCATTTATTAAGAGGACCATTCTTTTCCCCATTGAATTGCCATGATGCTGTTGTAATTCAAGGAGAGACTTAAAATTTCACTACAAGTCTGGCAACTGTGAGGAGAAAGAAAGAAAGATTGACTAGGAAGAGTCTCAGACTTCCTTGCAGTCTGAGGTAGTGTCTGTCTGTAGAGATGCATCTTTTTTGGTAATCTCTATCCTGAATTTTGTGTTTGTCATTCTTTTTTCTATATCAGGGGTTGACAAACTTTTTCTGTAAAGGGCCAGATGGAAAATATTTAGCCTCTGTGAGACACATGGTTTCTGTCTTAATTATCTAAGTCTGCCACTATAGTGTGGAAAAAGCCATATGTGTGTCAATGTATAAAAGAATGTGCATGGCTGTGTTTTGTTTTGTTTTTAATTAATTAATGTATTTATTTTTGGCTCTGTTGGGTCTTTGTTGCTGCACGCGGGCTTTCTCTAGTTGCGGCAAGTGGGGGCTACTCTTTGTTGTGGTGCGCAGGCTTCTCATTGCGGTGGCTTCTCTTGTTGTGGGGCACGGGCTCTAGGCACGCAGGCTTCAGTAGTTGTGGCATGTGGGCTCAGTAGTTGTGGCTCATGGGCTGTAGAGCACAGGCTCAGTAGTTGTGGTGCACGGGCTTAGTTGTTCCACGGCATGTGCGATCTTCCCGGACCAGGGCTTGAACCCATGTCCCCTGCATTGGCAGGCAGATTCTTAACCACTGTGCCACCAGGGAAGTCCCCCATGGCTGTGTTTTAATAAACCTTTTTTACAAAAACAAGCTTTGGGCCAGATTTGGCTTGCAGTCGTAGTTTACCAACCCCTGTCCTATATGGTCTAAACATGTATTTATTTTTTAAACAATGTTTAGTTTTATATATATTTCAAACTTTATATAAATGATCTCGTATTGTGTGATTTGCTTTTTTGTTCAACATTTTGTTCCTGAGATTTATTTATGTTGCATACAGTTACATTTCATTTCCTTTCACTGATATTTCAGTCAGGGTTTAGTCAGTTATTTTAACTGTGAGTATTTAATATAAAGACTTGTTAAATTGGTGCTGGAGAACTGAAAAGCAAAAAGGGCACACTAGGTTATCGTGTAGGTAGTAACTGCAAGAAACAACCACCATCTTTAGGGCTGGGAAAACAGAACAAGTTGGAATTATTAAAACCTAGAAGCTTGGAGGGGGAGCCACTTAGAGCTGGAACTTTGACCTCCGATGATGGGAAACCAGCCTGACTGGTATTGCTATCCCCAAGCAGACATGATAAAGGCTGGTTCTGTGAGGGCTAGAAGAATTACCAACTGGAATCAGCTGTTCTTGCCAGGATAAAGATCTCTGACAGTGGTGGCACTGATAGAAACAGGAAGCAAAGAGAAAGGAATGTGTCCTTTCTTCCTCTAAGAGCCTCTGGTTTTTCCTGTTGGCAGAGTTTAACAACGTTGTGGCAAAGAAGAAATGAAGTTTCCAGAGTCTCAGCCTCAGCATCACAAAACAGAGCTTGGGGGATGGGTTTGAAGATGAATGTCAACAGCGTAACAACCAGTAGCTACAGAATTCCATTGTATAAATATACCACAGTTTAACTTTGGTTGACAAACATTTGTGTTTTCAGGTTTTTGCCTAAACACAGTGCTGCTGAAGTTCTTGCCTGTGTGCAAGGGTTTCTCTTTTTTGTTTACTGAAATTTCTTTTAAATGGTTTTCAGCAATTTTTCACATTGCCAAATCCAATGACTTCTTTTTATATTCTGTTTAACTTTTTTGATCATTAGCACCATTAACCCCACATTCTTCTTGAAACTTTTTTCTCCCACAGTGTCGTATGCTTCTGATTCTCCTCTTGTCTTTTCAAAAACCAATTTTAATTTATTTTCTTTGGTTAGGAGATGATTTTTAAAAACTAATATTTTTTTCTTAACTTTAAGGAAAATTTTACAACATAGAAAAGTATAAAGAAAATAATAAAAATCTAAACATTATCGATAATAACATATGGCTGAGTTTTAAATCTTTAAAACTCTGACTTGAGAGCCAGACCCACATTTCTAACTTCCTGACTAAACATTTCCACATGAATATCCTCCTGGCATCTTAAATTGACCATATCTAATATCTAAAGCCAAACCCATTTAATTTTTTTTTTTTTTTACCATATCCTCTTTCTCATTTCCTTTTTCTCCCCTGTCTTTTCCATATTTGGGTAGCAGTAATTCCAGGATTCATTTTAGAGGTCTTGGATTATTCTTGGCCACCTGAAGTAATTGTACTAACCTACTTTGTGGTTACGCAAATGCCAAGGATTATTATTATTTTTTTAACGTGTTCCTTTTACATGTTACCTCCAGTTCCCTTGTGAATCCCTAGGTTTCATGGCTTTAGAGCCCCCCTTTGATGTTCAATAACTAGGAGAACGTTTTATAGCACAAGAGATAGGATAGTACAGTGGGTAAGAACATAGACTCTGGAATCAATGCTTGAGTCTTGATTTTGCTACCTAACTGCTATATTCCTAGGCAAGATATGTAACCTCGTAGAATAGGAATAATACCTACCTAATAACATTGTGAAAATTAAATGGATAAGTATAAAATACTTAGAATATTCCTAATAATACTAGGTATAATGTTATCTATTATTACTATTACTCTTTGGTCTAATACCCTTTGGAATGAACCTTTGGATATATTGAGAGCTTAGAACTGGTGCTTCTGCTGCCAGCCTTAGTACATCTTTAAGCAACCATGGGGCTATTGGTGTAGGAAAGATTCTCAGTATCTTCCATTAGGTGTTTGTTTCTGTGACATTCATCAAGGGAAAGTTGTTTCCTTAATACTACCTAACACTTAAGCAGGCACATTTCTACCTAAGAGTTCTTTCTGTGTGCTTTCCTGTGTAAATTTCAGATGTCCCCTGGTGGACAGATAGTTCCTTAGCCTGTGTTGAGTTCACAGTAGGTTTAAATGAAATGGGTAAATAGTGTTCTGTCAGATAAAAGAGATCCAAGAAATTTCATCTCCTGTGCTTATTTTAAGAAATTTCTCAAAAAGTCTTAAAAATTGTTTTTTGTGAAAGTTGATCAGAAGGATTTTTTTTTTTTTTTTAAGAATTTCTGCAGGGGAGGAATAAAGAGTGCATCATTGAAGGATTTATGTCTTGAAGACAAAAGACGCATTGCAAACTTAATTAAAGAACTGGCCAGGTGAGACAAAACCTTATATGAAATGCATTACTATATGAGAGAGTGGTTTTTTTGAAAATAGAAAATTACAAATATGTTCTCATGTCATTGTGTCATTGTGTCATTGATCTTATGGGAGCAGTGACTTTTAGAATAAAAGGTATCCTGTGGTGCCAAAAAGAAAAGTAGAAAAAAATGTAAAATGGAAAAGAAACACTCTCCAGTTATGTTTTCTGGTTTGTTTAATTTCCCAAATTGTTTCATGGAAATATCTGCAGCACTCATTTATCAAGAGGGAACATTTTGAAACTTAGCTCTGCTATTGATGTAGGTTGATATTGTAATCAGAGGCATAGCACTTTGGTTTTGCTTTAGTATCTGAAACAGAAAAGAACATTCATTTTATTGTCATCTTTCACAAGAATACTTGTTGTCATTTTGCTAACTTCTGATACTTTCAAGTAAGGGATTTTAAATTTTGAGAATGAGAGTTCTTAGCTGTTTGGATGTACTATTCCAGTTTATTAATGATGTATATGAAGAATATTTACTTTGTATAATTTTTTGTTAATATACATGTCAAGTTTTGGGGTCTTAAATAATAAATGAAGATGCTTATAGAGGAATGTATTAATATAAATTATAAAAGTTAAGTTTAGGGGAAGGCCATACCTAAAAACTGATAAAATTGTATTTATTTTTATCATTGAATTGCATGTTTGGAAATAGTAGGTCTTTTTCTTCTTTCTCTATTTTTAATTAAAGATAACTACATGAAGTGTTTCATTTTGAGACCTTAAAAGAATGTTTGTAGAGGCTTTTCTAGAAAGACCGAAGTTAAAAATTACCTTATTAAATCATAGAATCACAGGTATAAAAGATGACAAAAAGCAGTGATGTTTTGGGGGCTTAGGTTACAAGGTCTGAGATTTCAAAGTACATGCCTTAGTCTGAATGTGATATACCTGAGATCAGCAGTAACCTCTTTCACTAGAATTCTTTGACTGTTCTGTTCTCTGAAGTAGAGTTTTCATGATCTCAAGTAGTGTTTTTTGTATTGGGAAAATATTTAATTGTTAAACATTTAATTTATGATCATCTCACAAGGCTTTTTACCACGAAGATGGATGTGGATGTCCTTAAAGCAATTACAATTAGTTTGACTTCATATATACTGGTCCTGAATTGCCATTATTGTCCTGACTGATACATTTTCAGCTACTAGGCTTAGAGAGTACTTGACATCTTAGAGTATATTGTTTTGGTTTCAGTAAACTTCTGCTTTTTAGCAAAGTGCTCAATTCTTGGTAGAAGGTCATTGTGTTAGTACAAGGTTAATATTAGTACAAATTTGACTGCTAAAAACCCCTGTTATTACTATATTAACTATTAACATACAGGTATATGGGAATAATGTATTCTTGGTTCCTTGAATTTGCTAAGTATCCTCTGCTGGATATTTCAGTCCATGTTTTTTTACTCATACTTGCCAAACCGTTTTTTTTTTTTTCCAAGACAGTTTTGTGCTAGTGGGAAAGTAGAGAGAATTCCATGTACCTCAAACACTGGCAACAAAACATTTCTAGCCTTCATGTTCTTTTACCTCTGAATTTTCAACCTGATTTCAAATAACTGGTTTCCTGTTGGCATTAAATAGAGTCATTTCTCTTTCACCTTGAGAAATAAAGTATATACTCCTTTGACCAGATATTTCCCTCTAGCTACTACCTTCTTTGTACTACAACATAACCTCATTCCTAGAAAAGAGTCTATAATATCTATAATACTGTTTTCTACTCTGTTGCATTTCATTCCCTCCTCAAACTTATTCATTTATTTTAAAATATAATATATGGAAGTGCAATTTATATACGATAATATGTACCCGTTTTAATTATATATTTCACTGAGTTTTGACAAATGTAAGATTACTCCAGAAAGTTACATTGAAAACTTTTACAGTCAGTCCCCTCCTCTGTCCTCCATCCCAGGCAGCCATTAATGTGATTTCTATTATTACTGCTTAGTTTTATATGTTCTGACACACCAGTATAAATGGCCCAACAGTATGTACTTTTTGCTGTCTGGCTTTTTTCCCTCAGCAAAATGATTTTTGGTGTGTGGTAAAATATACATAACATAAAATTTACCATCTTAACTGTTTTTAAGTGTACAGTTCAGTGATATTAAGTACATTCGTGTTGCTGTGTAACCGTTTCTGCTATCCATTCCCAGAACTTTTTCATCGCTGAAACTCTGTCCCCATTAAATAACTCCTCACTCTCCCCACTGCCTATTCCCTGGTAACCACTGTTCTATGTGCTTCATGAATTTGGCTATTCTAGATACCTTATATAAGTAGAATCATATAATATTTGTCCTTTAGTATCTGATTTATTTCGGAGCATAGTGTTTTTGAGACTTTTAAAAACTTGTTTTGTATAGGAGTAATGCATTTTTTATCATTGAGTAGTATTCCATTGTATGCCTGTACCTTAATTTGTTTATCTATTCATCTATTAATGGACATTTGGGTTGTTCCAGTATTTGCCTTTTATGAATGGTGCTACTCTAACATTCATGTACAAGTCTTTGTGTGGCTATGATGTTTTATTTTTCTTCTGTAAATACTTAGGAGTGGAATTACTCAGTTATATATTAAGTGTATATTTAACTTTATAAAAAACTGCCAAACTGTTTCCCAACGTAGTTGTGCTATTTCACACTCCCGCTAGGAACTTACGTTCCATCATTCTGCATGTTCAGTAATTCTTGGTGTTATCATTTCTTTGCATTTTGACCATTCTCATGAGTATAGTGATATCTCCTTGTGGAATGAATTTGTGTTTCCCCAATGATTAATGTGATGATTGGCCAGTCTTTTGTTAAGTGTCTGTTCAAATCTTTTGCCTGTTTTTTTTTTTTTTCACTCACCCCCTTCCTTCTTGACATTGAAGTATGAGAGTTCTTTATATATTCTGGATGTAAGTTTTCAAATATTTGTTTTTTCCTCCCAACCTGCAGCTTGCTTTTAATGCTCTTAATATTTTCTTTTGAAAAGCAATTTTTTTTTCTTTTGATGAAGTTCACTTCATCAGTTTTTTCTTTTATGGTTCATGTTTTTAGTGTTCCATCTAAGAAATCTTGCCCATCCCACAGTAGCAAAGATTTTTTCCTATGTTAGAAAAGACTATATCTTTTCTGCAGAATTAACCTCCGCCTCCTTGTCAAAAATCAGTTTACCATATATGCATGGCCTATTTCTGGGCACTTTATTTCATTCCATTGACCTATATGTTGCCCTGATGCCAATACCATAGTAACTTGATTACTGTCATTTTATAGTAAGTCTTGAAATCAGGTAAATCCTATTGATTTTTTGTTCTTTTTGAAAATTGTTTTGGCTCTTTGAGGTCCTTTGCATTCCACTAAATTTTAGAGTCAGCTTATTAATTCCTAAAAGAACATTGCCTCCTGGAATTTTGTTTGGGGTATATTGAATTTACAGATCAAAGTGAGGAAAATTAACATGCACTGAGTCTTTCAATCTATGAATATGTCATATCTCTCCATTATTTTTTTAGATTTTCTTTCATTTTTTTTGCATGATTTGTAGTTTTCAGGGGTACAGGGTGTAAAATATGCTTATATTTTGTTGTATTTATCCTTAAGTATTTTATGTTTTTTGATACTATTATAAATGGTGTAATTTTAATTTTATATTATGCTGTACACTTAATTTTAAATTTTATTTCACTTCTAATTTGAAAAAAACAGAATTGATTTTTTAATATTGACTTGGTATCCATCAACTTCTTAAAATTCACTTGTTATAGTAGTTTTTTTTGCCAGAGTACTTTGGATTTTCCACATACAGGATTATGTCATCTACAGATAAAAACAGTTTTTTTTTCTTTACAATCTATAGATTCTTTGTTTCTTTTTCTTGCCCTTTGGCATTGGCTAGAACCTGCAGGGCAATGTTGAGTGAAAGTGATGAGAGTGGACATATTTGCCTTCTTTTTGTTATCTTAAATCTTTAACTATTAAGCACAATGTAAGCTATAGGTTTTTTGTAGATGTTCTTTATCAGGTTGAGGATATTTATTTTTGTCCCTAGTTTGGTGAGGTTTTTTTTTTTTTTTGAGTCATAAATAGGAGTAGAATTTTATCAAATGATTTTTCTTCATTTACTGTGCTGATAATATGTTTTTTTTCTCTGTTATACTCTGGTAAAATATGTTGATTGGTTTTTGAATGCTTAATTTACCTTGCCTTCCTGGCCTAAGCCTCATTTGGTCATGGTGGTTTTTGGTTTTGTTTTTCACCTATTACTGAGTTTGATTTGCTAATATTTTATTAGAGATTTTTGTAACATGAGAAATGCTTGTAGTTTTCATGAAATGTCATTATATATTTTTTAACTTTATGTTTTAATTATGGTAAAATACACATAACATAAATTTTACCATCTTAACCAATTTTTAAGTCTCCATTTCAGTAGTATTAAATGTGTTCACGTTGTTGTTCAACCAGTCTCCAGAACCCTTTTCATCTTGCAAAACTAAAACTCTGTGTGCCCATTAAAGCTCCCCATTCCTCCCTTTGCCAGCCCCTGGCAGTCACCATTCTACTTTCTCTGTCTGCAAATTTTACTATTCTAGAACCTTATATATATGTCAAATCATTGTGTTTTTTACCATAATGTGGTAAAATACATATAACATACAACTGACCCCTCGTGACATTCAGTACACTAACAGTTTTGCATAACCATCACTTTTAAGTTCCAGAACATTTTCACCCCAAAGGAAACTGTACCCATTAAGCAGTTGCTGCCCATTCTCCCTTTCCACCTAACGCCTGACTATAGCTAATCAGTTTTCTGTCTGTATTGATTTGCTGACTCTCGATATTTCATTTAACTGGAATCATACAATATGTGGCGTCTTGTGTCTGATTTCTTTCACTTAGCATAATGTTTTCAAGGTCAGCTGAAAAATACCCCATTGTGTGGATAC